GGGGGGGAGTTTGAGAGCGAGGGGAATTGTTTGAGTTTGGGAGGAGACAGAGTGCAGAGAGAGAAGTTTTGGGTTCAAGTGGTTGAGAGGTCTGTAATGGTGATAGAATATGAGCTTCAATGCAACGCGGATCAATCGTTTTGTTGTTTTGTTTGGACAATATTACCCTTATGCCTTATTTAATATACCTGTGGGACCGTTTGTTTTAAATATTAGAGTGATATAAAAAGGTGGTATTAAGAAAATAGTAAGTGAGATCCATCTTATACGTTATTTGTTTGATATTTTATAGTCAGTACTATTTTTCAGGTCGTAATACCGACTCGCTATGAATATTAGCCATAATGCCTTGTAGAAGGTCTTAATTAATACTACCTAGGGGATAGTATTATATTCTTAATATAGGTATTATAAACTAAAAAGACCGAAATACCCTCTGATGCAATTCTCATATAAAAGTTTAGCCGCAATTTTTGACTTTTTAAAGGTTAAAATTGTGTTTTATATTGGTTAGCCTCAAATATTGACTTTTTTAAGTAGATATTACACAAATAATATTTGTGATAAACAAACAAGGAGAATGATGAGATTATAGTTTAACATCGGGTATCATATACTATTGGATTGGAATGAAATAGATATAAAACGTTATACCACCTAAATTTTATACTCGAAACAAGCATGCCCGTGGTGTACATGGGAAAATGGAGCTTTAGATCAGGTCTGAGTTGTCCCCAACGTGACACAGAAAATGAGAGGTGTTTCTCGTATTTGTCACTTTTCCTTACCATATTTCTATAGGTAAATTATGGTCCCTAAAGTTTACTACTTATTACACTTTGGTCTTTAAAGTTTTAATTTCATTCTCAAAGTTCAAACATTGAGTCAATGTGATCCTTAGCACTAACTACAGTTAAAAAAAAAGACAAAAATTATCATATGGGCGTGTCACGTGCATCTTTTTAAGTGCATTCTTGGTACTCCCTCCATTCTTAAATATTTGTCGTTTGGAACAATTTTTTTTATTCTATAATATCTGTAATTTAATGAAATCAAAACATAATTAATATTTTTTCTTTCAAATTTGCCCCCCCTTATCTCTATTTTCCAATAAGTGATTAATAGATTAAGTGTAGGCTAGTGTCTTTCATATTCATTTTCTTCATAATACGTATTGAATAAAATTATTTTAGTTTTGTGCAATTATTTTTTACTCATATTAGAGCTATTTAATAGCTTCCTTAATACTTGTGCAAAAACCTTAAACGACAGATATTTATGAACGAATATAGTATTTTACAATAATCTAGACATCCAAACACATTTATTCCTTTTTTATATCCATTAAACATGAAACTAAGCATTCATCTTCTTCTTGTGTGTCTTTTTTTCTCCATTCCTCTCACACACCACATTATTTTCTCTCTCACTCTCTTCTTTTTTTTCTTCACTATCTGTGTAGCTCTATGTCTCTCTCTCTCCCCCTTTTCTCCCCAGGGAAAAGTTCATCTTTGTTTGCCCCTACCCTCAAACCACAAATCTCTCTCTCCCTCTCTCTATTTCTCTCTCTCTCTCTCGTCTATGTTTTCCCATCTCCCTCAAACCCATAAATCCCTATGTTTGTGTCACTTTCTCTCTCCAATTCCTGCGTCTCTCCCTCTCAAACCAAACACAACCTCCCTTTCTCAAACCATAGCATTCATACAAAAACACACAAACACAAAAACCATACCACATGGATTTGGTTCCTTGATTCCAATATGTCTTTTAGCATTTTATCAAACAAGTTTGTGGCTCTCTCTCCCTCTCTCTCTCTCTCCAATTTACCTTTGCTCACCCTTGTTCTCAAACCCAAAAGCCCTTCCTTCTATGTGTCTCTATCTTTCTCCCCAATTCTTGAATCTCTCTCCCTTGAACCCATCACATCTTCTATCACTCAAACTCTAGCACGCCAACAACACAAAACCACAAACAAAACACAAACCCCCACATGCACACACAGATAATCTCTGCTTCGTTCTCTGAAATTGGTGAGTCATTAAGATTTCATCTTTGTTTTCTTATGGTGGAGGTGGCAATGGCAGGGTTTGGGTGGGTGGTGGTGGGCATAGAGGAGATAAGTGATTGTTACTTCTAGATGATCGAGTTGGCTTGCGATAGAAATTGTGAAGGGTAGTGGAGGTGGTGGCGGTCGTCGATTGGCTTGGGGAGTTGCAAAAGACAAAGAAGGGTGGGGATATACTGTTGGGATGAGGCCTCTGATTTCTGAGAGAATAGAAAGTGGGGGGCAGCCAATTTTTTGTTTTTCAATTTTATCATCTATTTTGTCTATAAAATAGCAGAAATATCCTTAAAAGACCTATATGTGACACACACATGGTAGTTTTCCTCTCTTTTTTTAATAGAAGCTAGTGTCAAGGACCACATTGACTCAATGTTTAAACTTTGGAGATGAAATTGACAGAATTGAAACTTTAAGGACTAAAGTGCGATGAATGATAAACCTTAGGAACTATTGGTACAATTTACCCTATTTATGTTCTTCATCTAATAATAATATACTAAGTGAATAATAATTATTTTATCATTTTTTCAATTAATATTGATGACACCATAAAATATGTTTGAGACCATTTCACTATGGCCCATCAGCATGGACCTCAGCCACATGGACCCGACTTGGTCCATCCAACGCTAATTAACCCATTTTAGATCACCAAGTGATGCCATTGCAGCTCAACATCCAAGAAGCCAACTTGGATCTAACTACCATGAGAAGAGGAATAGATGGACAAAGCAACCTTGTCCTAGATAGTAAGCTATCGTCTCAAGTATGCCACCTCACTGCTTCCAGAAGCCAGTGTCAGCCCTAGGCCTAGGCAACTACGGTGCCTGCCTAAGCCCCAAATTTTAGAGGGCCCCCCAAAAAAATTTAGTAAAATAGGTTTTTTTTTTTTTTTTTTGTATTTAGATATGATCTAAATTTTTCAGGCCCAAATTTTAGAGAGCCCCAAAAAATTTACCCCTTTAGTAGAGTACACATATATATAAATACATATATATGTATATATTTTGTATTTTAGATAAGATCCAAAATTTAAGAGTTCAAATCAATATTTAATTTTGTTTTGTCAAAAATTACTTTCTATTTGGTTAAACCCAATTTTTAGAAGGCCACAAAAAATTTACCCTTTAATATAGTAGGCCTAATTTTTATTTTTTATTTTAGATATTTTCCAAATTTTTAGGACAAAATTTTAAGAATTCAAATCAAGATCTAATTTTTTTGGTTCAAAATTACTCTATACTTGGTTAAGCCTAAATAGAGGCCCCATTAAATTGCTTGTTCAAAACTTAATTGATAATATTTTATTTTTGATCAATTAAGATTGAATGAATTAACTATATTATCTATTGAGAATATTTAGTTAAAATTTAAATATAAGAACTTGATCGATATTTTGTATTTAAAAAAATAAAAAATAAAAACTTAAATTATGATAATTAAAAATAATATATAATAATAGGCTAAATATTAATAGAGTCCCATGTGAAGTTTTGACCCAGAGCCTCGATTTACCTAGGGTCTCCCACGCTAGAAGCTCATATGTCCTGTAGATATGATTGCTTCTAAGAGCCAAATATTCCTCAATAATTCTTGTATAAAGAGAAAACCATTTCCTACGAAAAGGGGATTGATTCCAACTCTCTGTAACTACCCTTTTCTACCTCCTCAAGCAGTACGACGAACACTGGAGCAAGAAACTCCATTAAGAGTGGACTAGCCTGCCTATTAAACTTGGTGAACTACTTCTACTCTTGTCCATTTTCACAAGCAACTCACACATATTATTACCCAGTACACAAAACCATTTCACTCAACATTTTCTTGCACAATCAATTTAGCGTCGTCTATGGAAACGATAGTCATCATTCTGCTTTTAAATCAACTTTTTATCTATTAAATTGATGGTCTTGGCAAGAAGTATGAGTCAAATCCCAAAAAAACCAATAGGTGAATCCTCCTTCTCTGGCTCCCCCTATAGACCCACCTTCGGCATGGGAACCAAAGACTTACCAAGAAACCATGTTACCCATTCTCAGGCAAAATAAGAAAATCATCGCTCTGCTCACTACCCAGCAACCTTAACCTCCTTAGAATCCACCTCCTCCTCCTCAGCCACCCCTTAACAAGATAAAATAGGAGAACCATCAGAGCCACTCAGACGAAAATATTCACCACCAACAACCTAAAGATGACAATGAGAATGAGGCTCACAGTATAACTGGAGCGGATAGAATGCAAAATCCTCAGCCTTAAGCCCAATAGAATCCCTTGAACCAGTATTGTGAGGAAAGAATAAGGAAGTCCAAAATGTGTCTGAAAACATGAAAAATATTGTGAAGAACTAAGCCTCAATGTCGATGGAGGCTCTGGTCCAACAGATAGAGTCTCCCTTCACCCCTGAGATCCAACATTCCCCCTTCATACAAAGTACAAAATGCCTCATGTTAAAGCATTATGCTGGACTTGAGACTTGTTTGATCACCTTAA